TCACACTCACACTCACACTCACACTCACACTCACACAGATAGAAGCCATCAGCAAAGCTGCACAATTATGGAAATCTTTGTAAGAATCTAGGACTCAAGATAAAACCTTACCCTTTCCTGGGCATAAATGTTGACTCACAGGTGGTCCAAATGAGATCATTATGCACTACATCAGGTAGCATCACATAACATTTGTCTAATAGCATCAGGCTTAGTCATGGAGCAGCTAGTTACATAAATAAGATCCAAATATCACAGAAGAGCTCTCCTAGGCCATCCTCATTTTGAAATGTGTGTGTGTGTGTGTGTGTGTGTGTGTGTCACACACACACACACACACACATATTTATGCTCTTCTTCAAGTTAGGGAGAAGGTTTTGCAATCTGAAATTGCTTGTGAGTTTAAATCCCAAGGTTGCAAAATGATGTAACTACCTAGTAATGTGTCCTACCACCTGGTAAACATTGTCAAACCATTTCCATCAATGGACTTGAACTTACTAGCTTTTCAGTACCAGTTTCTCCAAGATGCGCCGGAATAAAGGGGCTTATTTGTCCTTTAAAGAAGCTTCACCCATCAGTTTGCTTATACTGAGTATAGGTTGTCTGGTTGGTAATGAATGCATCTCTGAGCTGTCGTATACAGTAGTCGTTTGATGTTTGTTCTGATATGCACTTATTTTAATATTATTTTACATCTCAGAGAATTAAAAAGATAAGCATATTGATATAAATATACACATATGTTCTGTATTCCAAACACAAACACTAAAGGTCTTTCAATCTTCAATTAATTTTTTAATTTTCTAAAATATTCAGTGTTTAGATCTGGGAATGGTTATTATCCTCCATTTATGCAAATCACTAGAATGAATAACCATGATGCATTATCAACTTGACATTCAACAAATACTAACTGAGCACTTAATATGTGCCAGGCACTGACTTAGGTGCTAAGTATCCTATGAACAACTATTTAGGCTTATTCAGACTTGGTTTATCCTAAGTAAGGTATTTTGTTTACTGTGTTAATGATGTATTAAAAGTTCATTCACTTAAAAGAAATTAAGGCATCTCTAAATCAGAGAGTATTCTGTGTCTTTATGCATGTAAGTGTCAGATATAATAAATGAGACGTGGATCTTTGAAGAGCATGCTAAGAAAGAAAGCAAGTTCATTACCTTTATTCATTTTCTTAAATGGGAAACCATGTCTACACAAATTTTCCTAATAGAATATTTCTTTTCATTGTCACTTCCTATTAAGAATGATCCCAGACATTCCTGGGGCATAAGCTTCAACTCCCTTTTCTGGAATTCCAGGCTCCCTATCTCTTACTGACTTAATTTCTCACTGTTTTCTGGCATGGATTCTCTATTAAGGTCACATTGTTCCACTTCTGCTCCCCTACATGTGGCCTGTTTGTTGGTCCAGCATCTCAAACACATTTACTGAGGTTCTAAGAAGGGGCCTGCAGGTGAATAGGAGGCATTTTCTATTTTTAAGGCGTTCACAGTCTAGGGGTAAGATGGGGAGACAGACCCACAATCAGATCATCACAAGTCACACACAGTGTACTTGGGGACCCTGAGGAGGGAAGGAGTGTGTGTGTGTGTGTGTGTGTGTGTGTGTGTGTGTGTATGAGGGTAAGGTGTAGAGCAGCGATGGCCAATCTATGACACGTGAACTCATTTTTTTGGTTGATTTTTCTTTGTTAAATGGCATTTAAATATGGAGGGAAGGAGTGTGTGTGTGTGTGTGTGTGTGTGTGTGTGTGTGTATGTGTATGAGGGTAAGGTGTAGAGCAGCGATGGCCAATCTATGACACGCGCACTCATTTTTTTGGTTGATTTTTCTTTGTTAAATGGCATTTAAATATATAAAATAAATATCAAAATTATAAATCTTTGTTTTACTATGGTTGCAAATATCAAAAAATTTCTATATGTGACACGGCACCAGAGTTAAGTTAGGGTTTTTCAAAATGCTGGCACGCCGAGCTCAAAAGGTTCGTCATCACTGGTACAGAGGGAGAGGTCAAGGAGAATGTCACAGTGGAGAGTCTGGTGCAACTGACCATTGGACATTTGCCAAGTGAACAAGTGGGGAAAGGGTATTTTTGGCAGAGGGAACAATCTGTTCAAAGGAATGCCGTATTAGCTCATGTTGCTCCTCTTGCCACACTCTTCCCCCTTGCTTGTGTCTTTAAAATCCAATTCCATCATATTCCTGACTAGCTGCAATCATGCTTAACACTGGGAGGAAGCCTAGAGATTGGGGAAGGGGTATTTTGTTCAGAGGGGACGTTCTGTTCAAGGGAATGCTGTATTAGCTCATGTTGTTCCTCTTGCCACCCTCTTCCCTCTTGTTTGTGTCTTTTTTTTTTAACTTTGTCATCTGTTTCTTGTTATTTTTTTAATATTTTTTTATTGTCTAAAGTTTTACATATGTCTCATTTTTCCCCAATTGACCTCTTCCCCCAGCCATTCCCACCGCGGGCAAGCCCCCACTGCCCCAGTGCTGTCTGTGTCTTTAAAATCCAATTCCGTCACATACCTGGACTAGCTGCATTCATGCTTAACACTGGGAGGAAGCCTAGAGATCAGGTAACCCAATTCCCTCATTTCAGAGATGAAATCTGAGGTGTAAAGTGTTATATTGTGCATCATGCTTTGATGAAATGTGTTCATTTTCTTGACACATATGTATTGAGCACCGACTGTGTATAAGGCACTGTGAGATGTACAAAAACAAATTGAATCTGTTTTTCCCCACAAGAATTTAGTTCTCATTAGAAATATATGGCCTGGAGATTAAGAACACTTTGGTGTTAGAAAGACCTGAGCTTGAAGCCTGACCCTGTGGCACTGTGCTGGTGACCATGAACTACTCATCCTTACTGAAACAAAGCTTCCCCCTGTATACAATGAGGACAATAATGGACTTTCTTCGTAGGTTTGTTATGAGAATTCAATGCAATAACATTTGCAGAGCACTAGCATTAAATAAACCTTAGTGATGAGTGGTATAGCCTTAATACAATGTAGGAAAATTAAGTGATGGCACTGAGTAGGTACTTAATTAAAACAGAGCTGTATGATTAATTCATTAAACTTTTAATTCCAAGGTATTTACCTGATCAAAAATTAACATATAGTTCCTTGACAATCTGGGTTCCTCAAAGCTTTGTGTCAGGCTAGATTAAAATGGAGATTTTTTTTACTCTCTAAGGTCCAGTAACCTCTTGCAATATAATGAATCCTAATTACTCCATTAGTATCATGCAATTTTTAAAATTGGTCGGTCTGAGCAGCATCCTAAAAACCAGCTGTTCGATCAGAGAAGAACTCCTTCCTGGGCTTGTGGGTTACACCCACTTAGCAGTTTATACTCTGTCTCGTGTCATTTGTGCTCCACATGGATTGTGAGACTAGCCCAGGGGTGGGCAAACTTTTTGACTCGAGGGCCACAATGGGTTCTTAAACTGGACTGGAGGGCCGGAACAAAAGCATGGATGGAGTGTTTGTGTGAACTAATATAAATTCAAAGTAAACATCATTACATAAAAGGGTCCGGTCTTTTTTATTTTTAGTTTTATTCATTTCAAATGGGCTGGATCCGGCCCGCGGGCCATAGTTTGCCCACGGCTGGACTAGCTCCTGTCCTCTGAAACATTGTCAGGAAGAAGGAAGGAAAAACGAGAATTAAGGAGGGAAGACACAGGAGACAGATTGTGATTGTGCTTAAGAGGAAACTTCTGAACAACGAAAGACCTTCATAAAGGAAAGAACGACCTTCCAAGCAGTGGGGCTCATGGCTGCAGTGGTTCCAGATGATATAAGGTCTGCTCTGTGGTTCTGCAGGAGAGGCATGAGAAGTGGCTGGGAGGGAGTTTAGCAATGCTTAGCTCCCTCCCAATAATAAGCTTCTATGACCCTATTAAGCCATTCAAGCAAATATTTATTGATCACCTATTATGCATTAAGTCCCCACTTAGAGTGCTAACTAGACAGCACTACAAAAAGCAATGTCCCTATCCATATGGAGATGGGATTCTAGGTGCCACACGCTGAGGTATCGCGGTGCCTGAACTGAATCTCTCCTGTAGGTACAGCGATATGGATTGCCAGGCATGAGAAGATGAATCTTCATTAATGTATACCACTCCCTCACCCCTGTGAAAACGGGGCAAGAGAAGTAGCTCAGGGGGCTCTGCAGGTAGTAAATAATGGACAACTGTAACTGCTGGAGCTGAACCCACCCCTAACCACAGCGGTAATACTCAGATCATCAAAATCCGCCGAGATAAAGTTACCAGCCATGACTCCATCACTTGCCTGGTTTTTATTTTATGTGCTGCATAGTCGAACCCCAACCTTTGACTCTCTCTGTAACCATCCCTCGTTTGAGTTTGGGTTTAAACAGCTGCCCAGCCCGTCAGCGCATCAGTGCGGCCGAGCAATAACTCATGCAAAGACATTTAAGAGTTCGCAAGTCCTCAGTAGACTAAAGCAGAGAAAAACAAGCTTCCATAGCAACAATATGTCACTCTAAATCACTATTGCTGTTTCGTGAACAAAGTGAGGATTGAAATAGAAAATGTGGCAGGGAGTGGGGTCAGCTCAGCAGATAGGATCAACTGTTTTCTGGGAATTAGACCACCTTGGTGAGAGAGACAATGTGCTCATTTTAATCTGCTAAGCAGTTTAATTCTGAAGCTACAAAACTTATTATTTGTAACTTTCTCTGTCACTGAAAAAATGGTTTTATTCCTCTCTCTCTCTTTCTCTCTGACAGACAACTGTTTAGTTTTTGTTTCATAATCATAAACTTAACTCTGCAATCCAGCTAGACTGACAAGGGGGTAAGGAAATTATGGAACCCTATGAACTGTGGCAAGAGCACAATTATAGAACATTCCAAGCAAATCGGGGTGAAGGGGTGCTCTCCCGAGCTACAGAAGGAATGACCTGGCGGTAAAGATAAAACACAAGTCAAATTTATTCGAGTTGCCCGCAGTCAGCAATGGTGATCTTCTTGCTGGTCTTGCCATTCCTGGACGCAAAGTGCTCCATGGCTGTCACTATATCCAGGCCTTCTGTCACCTGGCTGAAGACCACGTGCCTGCCCCCACCCACTCAGAGCAGATGAGAAACTATGAACCACTTGTGTTGGGTCCAGCAGTGGCCATGGACAAGATGCCAGGACCTGTATGTTTCAGGATGAAGTTCTCATCCTCAAATTTCTCCCCATAGATGGACTTGCCGCCTGTGCCATTATGGCGTGTGAAGTCACCACCGGCACATAAATATTCCTTTCTCTTCTTCTTTGCATCCAGCTCTGCTGGAGACAGCCGGCAGGGAGCTGGAGTCAGGGTGAAGGAGCTGGAAGGCTGCAACTGAAAACCTCTGCTGATTCCATCAAGGCTTTGCTTGTTATGATAAACATTCCAGCAGCCAGAAAGTAGCTAGTAAACACTGCAGGGGCTGGGCCGGGAACTTACCTCATTGTGGGACTTGCTAATCATCCACTTATGATTAAAAAACGAAAATGTACGCAAAAGAGCTCTCATGTATGTGAAAGCTTGGAGTGAGCTGCATGGGCTCCCAGAGGCCTCCGACCACAAACACAGCTTAGAGTAAATATAATCTTAGGCAGAAGCAACTTTCTCCAACAAAAACAACACAGGGAAGCCTCTTGGAAGTTATTTGATAAACTATTAAAATAATAACTGCTTGTCTTAGCCTTGGCTCAAGACGGCAGATGTTGGACATGATACAGCCGCAGACGAGAGCGAGCATTCCCACCAGTGCAGCGGGCAGGCGCGAAGGCGGCTTTGCTTCAGCCATTTGTTTTGAAGGGACGGGGCAGTGGAAATCAATTCTCATTTGTGAAAAGGAGAGGACTCATGTCTGCTCATATATTCAATAACTATAAAAAACGTAATGCAGGCAATTGCTGTCTTGTTCTTCCCCCCTGTTTTGACACTAGAGAGCTGTGTCCCTAAATGTGCTCCTCATAGGGAAGTTTTGTTCCAGAGACCCCAGTGCGCTCTGAAATCATAAACAGGCAGCATTTCTGCCCACGTTTCCCCATAGGGGCTGGAGAGGCTGGCCTGGCCTACACTTTCCTTTCAAGCTTACAAGAAAACCTTTGCAAAGGGTTCCTCTCAGTTTTATTCCTGATCTTTTCACAATTCTCTGGGGACGCTCCATCTCTGGTGAACCTCTCTTGTAAGAATTTGCCAAGGTAATAGGTATACACGTGCAGCTACTGTTTCTTAACCAATTCTATTTGCCTTGACATCTCAATGTCAAGTTGGGTAGATTATTTTGCCATTCTACAAGGAGATTGAATTTTCTAAATTTATTGAGTATTTATGCATGGGGTTATAAAATGGATATTCCTTAAATTATCATATACCATGGAGAAAAGTGTGTGATTAACCTTCTTTACATCCCACATGCATTATCTCATTTAACTTTCACTATGACACCGAAGTAGGCTTTACCTATATTGCCTGTATTGTACTGACTAAAAAACAAACAAACCCAATATTCAGAGAAATATCTTGTCTTTAGGGTGTTTTTCTCCACATAGCGAAGCATAATTGGGACGTGTTTATCCAAAATGCAATAACAGTGACTAGACCAGCGGTTCTCAACCTGTGGGTCGCGACCATCGGAAAAACACATACAGCATATCAGATATTTACATGACGATTCATAACAGTAGCAAAATTACAGTTATGAAGTAGCAACAAAAATAATTTTATGGTTGGGGGTCACCACAACATGAGGAACTGTATTAAAGGGTTGTGGCATTAGGGAGGTTGAGAACCACTGGACTGAACTTACCCTCCTTACTGGAGCAATAAAAAACTGGACAGGATATGTGAAACAATCATTTTTAAAACATTGGGCATCCGGTGACTAAGGACAGTGGTTCCTGAGAGGTAGGAAATAATGCTCCAGCTTCTTACTTTACTGCCTTCTGTGTCAAGGTGCAGAGACTCCCTGAGTGGAGTAGACAGAGCTAGAAGTCAAGGGAGGCCAAGGGAGTGAGAATTCTTAGGACAAATTATGGGAGGAAAGAAAGCAAAGGACAGATGTCTCTGGTGATTTGGTAGGTGATAGGATAGATGTACGTTTAATTTTATAAGAATTTCACAAATTCTTTTCCAAAGTAGTTGCACCATCTACACCCCCACCGTCACTGTATGAGAGTTCTAGGTGCTTCACATCCTTACCTCACTTGCCCTTATCGGCCCTTTAGATTTTAGCCATTCCAGTGAATGTGAAGTGGTATCTCATGATTATTTTAATCTGTGTTTCTCTGATAACCAATGTGTTTAGCATCTTTTCATGTGCTTATTGTTCATTCATAGGACCTCCTTTATGAAGTTACTGTTCAAGTCTTTTGGTCCTGTTAAAAAATGGAATTGTTGGTATTATTGAGTTGTAGGAGTTTTTAATAGATTCTAAAGTCAAGACCTGGGTCAGATATATATTGTGAATATCTTCTATCACTCTATGGTTTGTCTTTTATTTTAACAGTAACTTTTCAGAAGAGATGTTTAGTTTTGACAAAGTTCAATAGATCAGTTTAAGAGAAAGGTATTGAGAATAAAAAAGTTAATTCCTAAAGGAAGTGGCATATAGGGTTTATGCCACAAATAATATTTTTGAAAGGATTCACAGTGATTTAAGAGCTGTCTCTTCTTACTGCTCAAGAGGGGATTAAAAGTCTTTTCTGGACTGGAGAGAGGGAGCTTGGGGAATGGGAGAGGAAATCAAAGCAAAAGGGGGTTTTGCCTACCCGCCCCCACCCTCTGTCTGTGTGTGGGATCCCATTGTGAAGGCAACCTCCTCCTGGATTTCCCAGGCACAATTCTGGGAAACGATGCCTATAGTAAGTCTCATAGAAGGGTAGCAATGGTGGATGAGGGATACAGGTGGATGGCCTAGGACAGTGATGGCGAACCTTTTGAGCTCAGCTTGTCAGCATTTTGAAAAACCCTAACTTAACTCTGGTACTGTGTCACATATAGAAATTTTTTGATATTTGCAACCATAGTAAAACAAAGACTTATATTTTTGATATTTATTTTATATATTTAAATGCCATTTAACAAAGAAAAATCAACCAAAAAAATGAGTTTGCGTGTCACCTGTGACACGCGTGTCATAGGTTCGCCATCACTGGCCTAGGAAAAGCCTTGGGAGGTACAATTACCCTCAGGGGAGATGGGGACAGAAGACAAAAAAGAGTCCTCAGATCTACCATGGGGGAGAGAAATGCTGAGCGAAAGTGTGCTAACTAAAGGGGCCTGGTTTTGGAACAAAGACCACTCAATGCCTGGAGTCCAAAGGCCTTTGTGAAAACCTGGACCTCAGGAATGAAGTCTAGAAGTCAAGGATGAGGGTGAAATAGGTGAGGTTCAACCCAGTGAATGCCAGTGTGGACAGCACACCATTGTGAATGAGATGCCTTTTTACGCTGAGCCTCCCACACTTGCTAGTAAATTATTCCCTAAGGGAAGGGAAAAGGGGAGGGAGGAAAATTCGAACCAATCTTCATCCAAAAGAGACTTTGTTTTGATCCGGAAGGAAGTGAGTTTTACCTTGAATTCACAAGATTGTTTCCTGCTATCAAAACTATATGAGAGATTGCGAACTAAGCTACAGAGAAACAGGATTTCATAGCTACACCCCAGCTGTTTTTTAATTGTTGACACTATTACAGATGTCCCCCATTCCACACCCCCTTTGCCCACCTCTACCCAACCCAGCCAGCCTTCCCCTGGCCTTCTCCACACTGTTGTCTGTGTCCATGGGCTATGTAGGCATGTTCTTTGGTTACTTTTTTCACCTTCTTTAATCCCGTCTCCCCACCCCCTCCCCTCTGTGATGGATCTATAGATTGCTTTGGATAGTATGGACATTTTAATGATGTTAGGTCTTCCAATCATGAACACAGTATATGCTTCCACTTGTTTGTATCTTCCTCTATTTCTTTTCTCAATGCCCTAAAGTTTTCTGAGTACAGATCTTTTACCTCCTGGGCTAAGTGTATTCCTAGATACCTTATTTTCTTGTTGTTGTTGTTTTTGCAATAGTAAACAATAGGGTTGTTTTCTTAGTTTCTCTTTCTGATAGTTCATTATTAGTGTATAAAAATGCCACTGATTTCTGGGTATTAATTTTGTATCCTGCTACTTTGCCAAATGCATTTATTAAACCTAATAGTATTTTGATGGAGTCTTTAGGGTTTTCTATGTACAATATCATGTCATCTTTGAATAATAACAGTTTTACTTCCTCCTTTCCAATTTGGATGCCTTTTATTTCTTCCTCTTATCCAATTGTAGGGACTAGGACTTCCACTACTATATTGAATAAGAGTGGTGAAAGTTTTTGCCCATGGAGTATGATGTTGTTTGTAGGTTTTTCATATATGGCCTTTATTATGTTGAGGTATGATCCCTTTACTCCCACTTTGCTCAGAGTTTTTATTATAAACTAGAGGCCTGGTGCATGAAATTCGTGCACGGGGGGAGGGGCAGTCCCTCAGCCCAGCCTGCACCCTCTCCAAGTCTCCAATCCAGGACCCCTCGGGGGATGTCCGACTGCCGGTTTAGGCCCCATCCTGCATGGATGGGGCCTAAACCGACAGTCGGACATCCCTCTCACAATCTGGGACCACTGGCTCTTAACTGCTTACCTGCCTGCCTGCTTGATCACCCCTAACTGCCTCTGCTTGCTGGCCTGATCGCCCCCTAACTTGTCCCCTGCTGGCCTTGTCACCCCCTAACTTCCCCCATGTTGGCCTGGCTGCCCCCTAACTTCCCCCCTGCTGACCTGACCACCCCTAACCACCTCTGCCTTGGCCCCCACCACTGTGGCTTTGTCTGGAAGGAAGTCGGATATCCAGAAGATGTCCAGTCTAATTATCATATTACCCCTTTATTAGTATAGATGGGTACTGGATTTTATTGAATGCTTTTTCTGCATCTGTTTATATGATCATGTGATTTTTATCTTTCAATTTGTTTATGTGATGAATCGCATTTATTGATTTGTGAATATTTTATAAACTTTACATCCTCAGAGTAAATCTCACTTATTCACAGTGTATGATCTTTTTAATGTACTGCTAGATCCTATCTGCTAATATTTTGTTGAGGCTTTTAGCATCTGTGTTCATCAGGGCTATTGGCCTGCAATTATCTTCTTTGTAGTGTCTTTATCTAGTTTTGGAGTTAGGATAATGCTGGCCTCATAAAAAGAGTTTTGAAGTCTTCCATCCTTTTGAATTTTTTGAATAGTTTTAGGAGAATATGTTCTTCTTCAAATGTTAGATAAAACTTGCCTGTGAAGCTATCTGGTCCGGGACTTTTGTTTGCTGGGAGTTTATTTTTATTACTGATTCAATTTCATTAGTTATTAGTCTATTCAGGTTCTCTGATTTGTCATGATTGAGTTTTGGAAGAGTATATATTTCTAGGA